TATTAGAAATTGGCCCAATTAAGTTCTCACTTCATGCTACTCAACCTTTTAGCAACTTCTTCCCTATAGTACAGGTTTTCAATGGAAAATTTGATGGAGGTTCTCCGAACAAGAGCTGTTAAGCGTTGTGCGATTGCCTCAGGCAGGGTCAGTGCCTCCAATCGGCACTTTGATGAAGAAATGCCCAGGATTCAACCAGGTCAGAATTCAAGACCATTTCTGGCTAGGGATATGCACGGGCGCCGCATTTATCACCTTAAATACAACAGGAGGATGGTGGGGCCCCGTCCGAAGCAAACAATTACTGGCCTAAGACGCTTCTTTCAAGAGCATGGTTTGCAACCTGGGGATCTAATTACTTTGTACAAGGAGGAGGGCAATGAGGTGATCTTGATGGGGACACTCATCTCTCCACTCTATGTGATCCACTTTGAGAGAGTTAACGAAGTTGCAGACCGGTGATGATCATGCTCTTTGAGAAAGCTGATTCAGCCTGTTAAAAGATCTAGGTGTTGTAGTTGTTTTGTTTTTGTTTGTTTGTTTGTTTGTTTTTTTCTTTTGAACTCAAGGATACAGAGATATAGCCTATAAAACAGATCCTGTTCAAGTAAGGTAGTATTTGTTTTGTTTTTTTCATGTCTTGCTGTCAGTGGTTTTCCAATAATTGTCACGCTCTGGTCCCTGTACGAAGTACAGATCCGAGCATTTTTTTTTTTTAAATATAGAAATCCTAAATCTATTGCCCTGTTTGTACTTGTAAGTGGTAAGCAATGATACATGTTGATTGTTGAGTACTCATTTTTAGAAAATATAAATATTTTATGGGTCTCGGTCACGTGTGACCTGTCTACTCTTTTCTACTCTTCTCTCGTTCCCTTTTCTCTCTCATCTTCTTGATAGATTTTTGTTGGGGTGCTAATCGGTTGTGGGGAGGAGGGAGTTGACAGATCTGGGACGAGTCAAGCGACCACCAGCCAGGAAAGAAAGAGTGGGTGGGGAGGGGAACAATCGGATTCTTATGGGGATTTGCTCATGGATCGAATAGGAGAGGGACGAAGAGGAACAGACGACAGATGGAACGGCCGAAAGGAATATCTGGTGTCCAATCGAGCGGTGGTGATGACACCGTCCGGTCGTCTGCAAACGAAAGAATCGAGGGAGGTGGGGGGTGTGATTGAGCAGCGGGGGTGTCGTTTGCCCGCCCCCAACCCGCTAATATCAAGGCTTCAGCCTTGTGCTGCGTTGTTTCCACTGCCGTTGCTTTTTAGCCCCGATTATATCTCCTTCTTTCAGATCTCGTTTGTTTAATTTTTCATTAGATTCATGTTGTCTTTATGTCTCCTGTTTGCAAATCATTTTGGTGGATTAGCTTTTAACCAGTTTTATTCGGATCTGACCTTTAATTTAGTGTACTTAATGTTACAGTCAAAAAAGTGAGGAGTTAAGGGAGACAAAGGGTTACCGGGAGAGGAATGAGTCAGGTGCCTACCTATTTAAAAGCAGATACCTTCTTCTTGGCATTTACAGAAGTTAAAGTTAAGCAAAATACAAAACTTCCCGGCACGATTCTGTTTCTTTTTCTGAATTTAGCCTTTGAATTTCTTTGGTTTTTTCTTTTCAGATTCTTTGGTTGGTTCTAATGTTATTTTGCAAACCTGATCTTTTGCTTGATGTTACAATCCAATTTAGAATCAAGGAGAAAGAAGAAAAAGAAACTAGAATCAAGAAGAAGAAGGAGAAAGAAGGAGAATTCAGATAGATAGACAGAATCGAGAGAGAAGTAGGAAGGAAACCATATTCAGTTTATTCATCAGATGCCCTTGAATCTTGATTCATTTTCTTTTTACAGCCTAACAGACTAGCAGAATCCATAGAATACCCTTGTTTACAATTTGGGATCTAACACTTGA